TGGGGCTCCCCAGTGTGCTCGGCAGCAGACCCAGAAGTGGACCAGAAGCACTTCTGGTCCACTTCTGGGTCTGCCCGAAAACACACTGGGGGGCCCCCCTGCACCCTCCCAGCTCGGCAACTGGTGCCTCCTGGGTCTGGGGGGGCACCCAGGGTCCCCCCGTGGCTGATCTGAGCTGGGAGGGCACAGGGGAGCCCACCTGTGTGCTCCCCGGCAGACCCGGAAGTGGACCAGAAGTACTTTTGGTTCACTTCTGGGTTCACTGCCGAGAACATGGAGGGGCCCCCCTCCCCCACACTCCTGTGGGACGCTTTATCTGCCCCAGCATCGCAGCGATCATGAGCCCTTAATTTGTCTAGATGTGAAGACTTGTGTTCCTCACAGCCACTGCAATTATAGGTCAATTACAGGTGATGGGCCTTGAGTGGTCAGAGGGGATGCTTAGAGGCATTGGTTACCGGACCTGTCTTTGGGTATTTATTTATCAATGGGGCAAATTTGCAATAGCTTGTACCAGTGATGTTTTGTTTACAAAACTCCAGACATACACTGAATGATTGAGACATTTGTAACACCTTAAACATTGGGTGACTGTTTTGATAAATGTGAGGATATACAGGACATTTTTCCTGCATTCAATGCACCTTTTACAGGTTTTGCTTGAAATGTATATTTAGTATTTTGTCTTCTTTAGTTGTTAGTTCAATTTAAATATATATGTAGTTTCCTTGCCTTTAGTTACGCTGGCTCAGCCTTTCCCTCTGGCTTTCTAAGCTTGGAGATACACATGTGATGAGTGTGTCAGGTCTCTGGCAACAATTTTAACCATCATTCTTATTATTTTATGGCATGGTTCTGGTATTGGGTACCTCAAGCTCCATTGTCTTGATGCCTAATGGGTTGCAAGCCATTAACAGAGTTTGATTTTCTTGTGGCAGTCTTGTCACCACAACCCACTCTTACCCCAGCCATTGTCTTGCATTTTTGTGCAAGAGACACTGTCCAAGCCTTCACAGTTTTCATATCCTTCAGCTGGAGCACAAGGGTGTTTTAGTGCAGGGGCTGCTCACTAGCTAGCCTCATGCCAAAGCTCCCTCATGCCCAATGCCAGCCCCTCTATAGCACACTGAGCCAGGGAGAGCAGCCCAGGCTGGTAGGCTGACCCCTGGGTCACCCTGCCAGCTGGGGCTGCTCTGCCTTGGCTCAATGTGTTGCAAATGAATGAACTGCAGAGCTTATTGCTCTGGAGTTAATTGCTCCTCCAGGTACCTGGGAGCATTTAACTTCAGAGCAATAAACTCTGGGCTTATTCATGTGCAGTAATAGCATGTGTAGACGTGCCCAGTATGCTGCAGACTGGGATTATCCTTACATTTCTGAGACGTATCTATGACATAAAGGTGTTTATTAATTTATCCTTATGTAGGGCCTCCTTACACTTATGGATAAGCAGCTACACAATTAGTAGGGGTCTGCTAAACTCAAGGCACCTGCTGCCCAATTTTGGGCACAGATTGTTTGGTTGGCAGCCATTTTTGCAGGCTGAGTGTGATGTGGTCCCCCACACCTCTGATTGGCTGAGAGGTGGCCACACCCTTCACTGGTGATTGGCTATGAGGGCTGTCCATCATGTGGCTCCAAACCTTGTCACCAACTGGCGAGAGGGAGCCAGCATTTTATTTTCAGTAAGTATATTTTTTTCAGGAAGCCTGTCAAATGCATGGAACCTGTGCTTCTTTGTGCACCCTCCTTTCCCCCCAAATTGTGGTTTCTGTGAAAATCATTACATTGCTGTGAGAAAAAGAGACCAGGGCCAGAGAAAATCACCAAGGAACTTGCATGGGAAACACTCATTGCTGGTGCAGAGAATATAGCTGGAGCTGTGAGAGGGCCAACGCGCTTCTGCAGTGCATGCTTCCTCCAGATTGGTGGATGGAGCACAAGGAGAACTATTTCTGGCCCTGGAGGGGGGCAGCCAGGGAAGGACCATAGCTGGTGGAGTGCAGAACTGCCAGAGGGTTTCTCAGTTGACAGTGACCCATGGCCAACTGTTGAAGGAAGCAGGTAAGCCAGCTGGCAAGGGTGGTTGGAGGACCACTAGCAGAGCCTCAGATACTTTGCAACATGGGATTGCCTGAGAACAGCCAGGTGAGGACTAAAGTGGCAGAGCCAAAGGCTAGCCAACAGCAGAGTGAGGAAGAGTGAGGGTGCAGCCACTGCAAATGGGTCAATGAGTTGTCAGGGCACAGCCCAATTTGATTCTCGCTCTTCTTTTTTTGTGGGTTTTTTTGTTTTGTTTTATGGTGTTTCTTTCTCATGGTAGGCCAAGGGAACAGCAGAAAGATCTGTGCCCTGCAAAAGTTAATTGACCTAACCTTGACTAGATAAGGCAGGGTAAGAACCCAGGTGAAATTTCTGAGTAGATTGGCCCAAGAACTGGGAGAGGATGTAATCCCAATTGATGATCTGATGGATCCTTGGAGGACTTATTTAATTTAATAGACCCAGGAGCTGGGAAGGATTTGATTCCATATTTGCCTTGGGTTTTTTTGAGCTTTCAGTGGACCCTTGGTGAGCTGATTTAATTTTGACAGACCCAAGAACCTGGGTAGTGAACTGATGGGAGGTTTGTTTTATTGACTTGAGAATGTTTTATTGACTTTATCTTAATTGAGGGACCCTGGGACTTATAAGGAATGAATGGAAGGCTGGTCTTTGTGAGCCCAAGTGAGTGAACATATCTCAAGAACTTTATTCGGTAAGCCAGCCAGCAATGGCTATTTAGGTTAAACAAGATCCTAGCCCAAACTTGTATCATCAGGGATGTGGTAAGGGTGGGATGTAAGGAAGGACGAGCCCCATGAAGCAAACCTCTGGGGGAAAACCTGGGAGAATTGTCACTCATCCTACACCTAACTCCCATCAAGACGTGGCAGGAGAGAAAAGAACATCTGAGATAGGCAGTGCTGAGACCATCTGGTTATCCCCAACAGCACACACAAATAAGAGGCTGGGCAGGCGCGGGCCTCTGCCTTATAATACCCACCACAACAATCACCATTTTGGTAGGTCCCTAACAATTAGTCCCACAGAAGTTAACTTGAGCTTGTTAGGTTGCCTATCACGTGCTGTGGGTATATGAAAACAAATGTTTAAACAGCAGATTTTAACAAAATGTATCAAGCAAATATTAAAACAGACTAGAAGACCTTTCCAGATGCAAAACGACCTCCATCTCTGCCTTACTCTGTTCCCAAATTCACCTTCCTCTTGAAAAATATGTGATTGGGAAACCAGACAAATCTTAATTCAGACCATAAGAATCACCACATTCACACTCTGGTGGACTAAAGGGGCAAACAGTTCTAGTTCATGGACTAGTCACTGAAAATGCTTTGTTGCAAGCTTCCTGCTATTTGAATCATGGGGCTGTTATTTTGCATGCCTTAGTCTTAGCCCCACCCACTTTTCTGCACAAGCTACCAGCCTGCAGCTGCTAAGAGATAAAGTGCATGTTAATACTTGAAAAAGTTGTCAGATCTGCTTTTGAGTGCACACAGAATACCTTGGAGGAGTGGTATGGTGTTCTTATGTATACTGCTCCTACTCATTCTCCCCCTCAGGTGTTTTGCTGAAGCACCACACAACCGTTTGGGAAAAATAGTGGTGCTGACCCTTTTGCAAAGCAATATCCTGCTGTCAAGGTGGGAGTGCTGATGTAGAGAAGTAAATATACCTTGGAATCCTTAAAACTCCAGCTCCTGAAAAACAGCAAAGTAAAATGTTGGTCAAGAGGAAGCAGAAATTGGTAAGGAAATAATTTATATGCTTGTGGTTTTTTGTGGGGGAGGGTGTTTTGTTTTTTTTTGAATGACAATGAAGTAACAATAATACAGTAACATATAAATATTTTTTATGATGTTACAGCATGTTAGTTTATATACAGTTGATATTTTGCCACTGAAAGTATTGCAAGATTGCTAAAATGCAAAGAAAATAAAAGCCACCCTCTGGAAAAAAAAATTCAGCTTCTAGATATGTTGGTTAATGGTCAGTGGTTGGCAAAGGAAGAGTTCATTCATCCTCTGTTTTCTGGGTGAAGGAGCGTGCCTTTCTTTATCAGCTGGTCATAGTTTTTAGGCCTCACCCATACTGGGAACTGAACGATGTCCTACAAGTTTAAACTTGTTTGTCAAACAGAATTTTAACATTATTTTCCTGAGTAGGGGCACCAGAGATATTTTTGTCTGTGAACTAAGGTTTAACCATGGAATAGCACTGTGCTATCAATCCTACTGTACTTCAAAGATAATAGTATTTTGAGTGCCACTAAAAGAAGGCTGTCCTACTGACTTATTCTGTTCTGTAACACAGAGCTTAAATCTCAAAACAACCAGCTCACATCGAACCAACAGACTGGAGCCATGGCAAGGAACAGATGGGTTTTAATGAGATACTTGAATTCATAGGGGAGAGCTGCATACTAACTGGTTCTAGAGTCTGTAGCAAAGCATGATTAATAATTCCATTTTCAGAAATACAGTTCCTGTTCATGCTAGTTCTGAAGATTGTGCCTGAACCTTGCTAGCAGCAATTGCATGGACTTGATTTTCCACTAGTGTGCACCTTTAGTGAAAACTGGCTATTAAAATGCTATTATATAGATTTAGTAACATTGTCATCCATTTTGCACAAAGGTAAATGACTATGTGAAGTGAAAGACACAGGAAAAACAACACTGAAAGTAGGCCTTTCACTTACTTCAGTGGTCATTGCATTAGGCCTATGGTTTTGAAATCTGCATAGAAAATCAGTTGAAAAATCAGGCTGTGCTTTTATTTTAGAAATCTTGTTTTAGCTGTACTCCCGTGAGAATTAATGTTCCCAAAGATGTCTGATATTTTACATAGTTAATTTGACTTCTGCCAGATTATATTAGAAATTATACGTAAACATTAATTTTTTTGTTCCTGGTTTTACTGTTTGTTTTGGAAACCACTTCTCCTGTCTTGTTTCCTTGGTGTGGGAAAAATGAACTGTTGATGTCCTTTAATTAGCTGAAACAATAAAAGCTATTGCCCACCGCCCTGGGCCAGGTGAATTCAAGAGGGGTTTTCCTGAGGACTAACAGAAATGTCAGGAGGCAAAGCACTGATTTGTTTCAGCTGTGTTTGCTGTGTGGGTGTCAGAGACCAAGAGCAACTAGAATGCCAAAAGAAAGCTAGCAAGCAGGAGAAGTGGTGCACAGCCCTGGGAATAAGTCAAGAGATGCAGCTTCTTTTGGACAGAGAACTGGCAGGAAAGGGAAACTTGGGTTTCTAAACAAGGAAACTGCCTCTAGTTGTTTGCTTCTGCTGTGTGTAGAGAAACTTTGTTATACATGCTTTGTAAATAAAAAGATTACACCAAAGAAAGACCTGAGTCCGTCATCAAGTTTTCCTTCTAACAGAAACAATCTGGCAAGGCCCTGAATACCCGTTAACTGCTTGGTCCAAAGGTTAACAATATATAAAATAAGATAACATTATATCACTATTTAAAATTCTATACAAATACTAAAGTAGTTTCAATTTCAGACCCGGAAAACTGCAGCTAGCAATTTGAGTTGCTGATAATTGATATTTCCATCTTAAATGGAAAGTTTTCCCACAATTCACATTGGAAAAAGCAGCTTTTACAGAATGATAATGATAAATTACTTCTTTTATGCACTTTCCCTCTTTTAAAAAGTAGCTGTTTTGGGGAATTTAACATAATTCAGATGTATGTATTAAAAATATACTTCTAAATACAGAAATATGTATTTAGATAAATTAATACCTGTTAAAATGTTAGATATGCAGAATCACTCATCATGATTTTTAACATGGTTGTCTCTTCATTTACTTGCTTTTGTGGTACCAGTGGATTTATTTTCATATTTAGCATTTTATGGCACGATTATAAAGTGGCTCAGATTATATCCCACTAACTAAGCATAGAGAGGACACTTTCTGTACAGAAGAGGGAGACTCAGGTTTGTTCAATGGGCATTGTTTCATCCCCTCCTTCTCTGGACTGCATACAGGCTTCTTGTTTAAACCAGGGATGCAAGCAAAATAAGGGAAGACTGGAGGTAGGGGATGAATCCCCAGTGGAGAAATTCCAGATAATGCAACCCTAGGAAGATAATGCAGCTGTAGGAAGCACACTATTTTTTGTTGAAGCTTTATCCAACGCATCCTGGAAGTGGCCTTGACTAAGGCAAGTCTCTGGTAAGCCAGTTTCAATTAAAATGTGCTGCCAGGGTGCCAGAAATAAGTCTGAAAAGTTTGGGGCTCTGCCTGGTTTGCTCTAGTTCCCTGTAGATCACTATGTTGCAGGGGTGTAGGTTGTAGCCGTGTTGGTCTAAGGACATAGGCAGACAAGGTTCCTTGGGTGAATCTAATATCTTTTATTAGACCAACCCAATCTGCCTGACAACTGACTCCCCAGCCCAGCCTCTGGCTTCTTTACTTTTCATTCCATCCAGGGAGAGCACACACCAACTGCTGAAACTTCCTTAGCCTGACGAAGGGTTTTTGAACCTGAAAGCTTGTTTAATAACTATTCTCCAACTATTTGGGTTGGTCTAATAAAAGATATCAGATTCACCTAAGGAACCTTGTCTGTAGATCACTATGCATTCCTTATGGGCTGTCAAGGTTTTAGAATGCGTCCTGCTGCAGCCACTCTCACTTTCAACAAAGCCATGCCTTCAGTGCCTGATGTTACACTACAGGATGATCTCTGCTGGGGGAGGGGCTTCCCTCCTCTCTTTCACACCATTCTGTAGGATTTTCTGCAAGAAAGGATGGTTTGGGCCCTCAGTACCAAAATGTTTATTATTATAGTTGGCTTTGGCCATTTCTTGTAACACACATTGAAACAAATGATTGCATGGTAAAAAAAATAATCACAGCTACTTGGTTAATTCTTTGCAAATTCTAACATCTGTATTTTGAATTAATGGATAACACTGCCATCCTGCAGCAGATTGAATTGGGACTCCACCCCCCAAAAACCAAGGTTCTCTTGGTTTCCTTTCCTTACTAGATAATTAAATATTGCTACAAACATGATGACATATAAATACATATTTTCACTCCCCAGGATCTTCCCCAGAAACTTCAACTTTTGGCCACTCATGATTCAGGAGGACCGTCAGATCACTCAGAGGTGAGAACTGCAAGCTCTGTAGAAAGTTTTGATTGAAAAATCTATGTAAGCAATAAAAAGCTGTGAACAGAAACCTAGGTTAGATTGCACAGTGACTTGTTTATCATTAAGTTATCCCAGCTCTATTGCATATTATGTCAATAAACAGAGACATTGGTGATGCGTAGGGGGTGCACACAGGTGCATGTGCACCCCCTGAGATTGTTGGTATACCCCCTGAGATTGGCCACTGCTGGCAGTGCCTGTGGGCGGTTGCCACTCATCACCCCTCTCCCCTCCCCTCCCTGCTGACACTGTTGGTGGCGTTTGCGGGCAGTCACCAATTGCTGCTGGTGGCATTTGCAGGTGGTCACCGACTGATGGTTGGCACTCCCCATCCCTTCCCCTGCTCCGCTGCCGAGGCTGCCTGCGAGAGCTCCCTGCTTGCCGCTGCTACCTGTGGGTGGTCGCTGTGCCCCCCCAGCCTCTGGAGGCACACGTCATTCATGAACATAGGCAGAAGGTAGGGCAGGGTGGCACTTTAGAGACTAACTGGTTCAGAGAGGTTTTGTAGGAAGCAATCTACCTTGTTATCTGACAAAGTAGGTTGTAGCCTATTAAAAATCATACCTTTCAGAATCAATCTCCAAGCTGCCATCCTGCCCTAAACTTTTGCCTGATTTAAGATGGCTAACAACCTTTGGGTGTGCATGTGTGTATATAGAGAGATAAATTAGTAGAATCCATAAATTGTATTATTTACTTGCGAAGAGCATAGCCAGGTCCCAGCTGAGTCTTACCTTGCAATGCTTCCGATACAGACATTCTGCAACTGAGTTGTAAACGATGCTGTGGCTGATATGACCACACTCCCTGTCTGGCATCTATAGCTTTACAGAGGGAAGACCTGGTGGAGGGGCAGGAAGCCATTTGGAGCTTCTGCAGGGCCTTAATAAACAGGAAATGGTGCCACACTCCAAATTGTGTGTGTGTACACGAAGGAGCTGGTCAAGACTAGGGACAGCAGAAGGCAATTAATACCAGCCAAAAGGGCCCTGGGGTATAAAAAGGGATTAATAAATATTTTGCATTGAGATTTGTTTTCCTGATGTAAATTAATGTGTTTTTATAATGTAATTTTAGATATATAGGGAATGTGATCCCCCTGTTGTAAGGAACCTCTGGTGCTAAAGGGTGCTAAAGGTGGTATGTGGATAAATTCTTGGCTAGCCAAGCCAGGAAGGTAATTTGGTTTAGTTCAACTGGTTTTTTATTGAGAAAAACCACAAACATAAATTGTAGAATGACAGCAATAACAACGAATAAACAGATCAAGGGTAACAACAGCAATAGGCAACAAGTCAAGTAGGGAAATGTGGAAGCGGGCTACAATAACAATACAGGGGGGTTGGTGTTTTACACTCTTGGTGGGACCAATGAACTGGTACTTGGAGACTTTGCTGGTCACTCCCTTGGTGGGGAGATCCAGAAATCCAAAGGCCCTAGAGTGAACTGGACACTCAGAGTGGAGCCAACACACACAGCAGCATACTATCTCCTAGGCGCACACAGGTGCTCATGCTGGCACGAAGGCACAGACACCCCACACCCCCTCACCACCGGGTCTGGTTTGGACCTGGAGTAGTCTCACTACTCTCCCAGAAACCGTGAACTTCACTAGCCAGCGCCCAGACTCAGACGGTGCTGACACATTTCTGTGGTGTATTTGTATAACAAATGGAGCATGGCAACTCACTGTCTCACCATTAAACAATCCCATGTGAACGATTCCGGTGGGTGGCGAATTGGCTAGAGGGTCGCACCCAGAGAGTCGTAGTGGATGGGTCGGTATTGACCTGGAAGGGTGTGGGCAGTGGAGTCCCGCAGGGCTCGGTCCTAGGACCGATACTTTTCAATGTCTTCATCAGCGACTTGGACGAGGGAGTGAAATGTACTCTGTCCAAGTTTGCAGATAACACAAAACTGTGGGGAGAAGTGGACATGCCGGAGGGCAGGGAACAACTACAAGCAGACCTGGACAGGTTGGACAAATGGGCAGAAAACAACAGAATGCAATTCAACAAGGAGAAATGCAAAGTGCTGCACCTAGGGAGGAAAAATGTCCAGCATACCTACTGCCTAGGAAATGACCTGCTTGATGGAACGGAAGCGGAAAGGGATCTTGGAGTCCTAACGGACTCCAAGATGAACATGAGTCGTCAGTGTGACAAAGCCATCAGAAAAGCTAATGGCACTTTATCGTGCATCAGCAGATGCATGGCAAACAGATCCAAGGAGGTAATACTTCCCCTCTATCGGGCGCTGGTCAGACCGCAGTTGGAATACTGCATTCAATTTTGGGCGCCACACTTCAAGAGAGATGTGGATAACCTGGAGAGGGTCCAGAGAAGGGCCACTCTTATGGTTAAGGGCTTGCAGGTCAAGCCCTATGAGGAGAGACTGGGGCACCTGGACCTCTTCAGCCTCCACAAGAGAAGGTTGAGAGGCGACCTTGTGGCTGCCTATAAGTTCATCACGGGGGCACAGAAGGGAATTGGTGAGTGTTTATTCACCAAGGCGCCCCCGGGGGTTACAAGAAATAATGGCCACAAGCTAGCAGAGAGCAAATTTAGACTGGACATTAGGAAGAACTTCTTCACAGTTAGAGTGGCCAATGTCTGGAATGGGCTCCCAAGGGAGGTGGTGCTCTCCCCTACCCTGGGGGTCTTCAAGAGGAGGTTAGATAGGCATCTAGCTGGGGTCATCTAGACCCAGCACTCTTTCTTGCCTATGCAGGGGATCGGACTCGATGATCTATTGAGGTCCCTTCCAACCCTAGCATCTATGAATCTATGAATCTATGATACCTGCCAATCACTCAACTTGCAACAATCTTTGGCTCATGTCTCACTTTTACCTCAGGCATGTCACTCCATTCACGTGTCAGTCACTCTGTTTTTTCTCACCACAACGTGGGGAACAAATAGGCATGCTCTCTTAACAAAAGTAGAATGTGGGGTCGAAAGTTGACTCTTTCCAGGCTTGTCCAAGCCTTGTTCCCACTACTCATGCTCAACAGGGCATTTAAAAATAAAAAATGACATCTGGGGTCTACACCTCCTCATCCTGAAAAAGCAAGTGTAAAATTAAGGTGCATCTTCTACACCAAAGCATTGTAATGAAAAATAGTTGAAATCATTATAATTAGAATTTGGCCAAAATTCAATCAACTTTATGTTAACAAGTCTTTTTTTATGTTTTTCTCCTGTTTGAAGGGATGCATCTTATACATTGATTTATATTATGCATGGAACATATGGTTATGAACAAGGAAATCAGCTGTTTGATCAACTGTATAGGTGGGAGAGATGTTGGACAAGCTTTTGGGCACAAAATGCCCTGAGCTTGAAAACTTTTTCAACGTATCTCAAAGTAACACAGTGGTTCCAATAAAAAGATATAATAACAAACCTCTGCCTCATACATTATTTCCTGGACCATTATGGCTACAACAACACTCCAACATTTACTTTGGAAGCAGAGTTAAGATGATGCTTAGTGCTTTAAAAAATGCTACTCCTATAAAAGAACAAGAACAAAATGGGATAGAAAAAACAGATAGCTTTGCTTGATAGAAATAAAAATGGAGTTCAACTTCGCACTTGTCCTTCACACTTCTCTGAGATTAGTTTTGGCTGGGAATAACCCCATGAATCGAATGAATGAAGTGACTGCAGGAAATGAATGAAGACAACATAAGAAACTGAATGTACTAATTTTAGTACTGCATTTGATGCAGGGTTTCACATAATCTTACTCATAAATAAATGCTTATTGGTTTGGATGTGAGCACTGGGACTAATTGAAGGACCAGAAAGAAAAGGTAATGGCCATCACTTTTCTCTATGTTAACACAACTTTCCAAACATCTAGTTGACAGGCTCCCCTAGGCAGAAGTAGGACTCCATCGTGCTTCTTCTCCAGCTATGGTCAGGGTTTTTAGGGGAAATAAGCAACCTTGTTTTCCTGTAGCTAAGCCCCTAATTGAATCAGCCCTCCAAGGAAGAACACACCGATCACTTTGGAGAGGCATATGGAGAGGCATCTGGCATCATTTTCATTTTAATGAGCCTGGGTCACTAAATGATTCTTATGTGGATGACTCTGAAAGGAGTGCCCAGGAACAGTGAGCAGTTGCATAGCTCAGGAGGACCGCTCCCTGCTTATGTTGCATCAGAAATCAGTGGGTGCATAGAGGGCATCAGCTGCACTCAGTCTTACATGGCAGAATTAAGAAACAGTATAATTCTATAACTGTGTCCCATCAAAATAAAAATATGCTTGCTGCTCTCATTTCCCTTTTTTGGATGTGTACTTGAATGACTAGATTAGGAACTCTAAAAGCTATAATCATCTCATATTTCTAAGCAGTATATTAATTCATAACAGTTAAAGGGGTTTCCTTGGTTCTCAGAAAAATAAAACAGAGGGCAAAGGAATATCAAATGGAGACTTGTGTTTCAGATTTAGTTGATATCGACTTGCTTGTTTCCTGGGACCGTGGAAAGGGGTGGTATGTGTGCAGGTTGAGCAAATCTTTACCCTGGAACATCAATGCTTCAGAGGAAACAGTTGGCAAAAACCCTCCCCCACATTTCCATTTGCAGAGATGTTGCCCTGAAGAGTTAAATTGTATGGGAGATTATAAACATTGTAAACAAATAGAGGTGCTCCCTAACTGGCTTTTGCTGCTTACATTTTGTGTATGCATTAAAAAACAAAGATCTAGTTGTGCATACATTCCTCTATCAAGATGCTGAGGAACATTCTACTCTGACTGTGACTTGGTAGATCTTCCAGTGAGGTTGTGAAGAACTTCCTTAAATTAAATGTCTTAAATCTCATTTAATTTAATTCCTCCAGTCCTTGTCTTTTAGTCATGCAAACTAAAGGAATTCAAGGCAGTATTATTCTGCTATCCTCCATTTCAGTGGACCTAAAACAAATTGGCTTATTATAGGCACTGTTGTTTAATCTTAAACTAGATGAGCTGTGTAGGTAGTACTGGTGACATTTGGCAAAAGCCATCAAACAAGACCAAAAGGTTTGAAGCTGCATACTGAATTTGTCCCCATGCTGGTGCAGAGTATGTGGCATGGATGGAGGAGCCAGTGGCTTGTGATTGTTTGATCCTAGAGCTATAATTCTGGGGTCAGGCTAACTTTGTACTGGTGACTTGGGCTAAGTACAGACATTAAAAAAGTGGGAGGCCAAATGGATTAAATCTTTGCAGGTTAAATAGATTGAACTACATAGATTGAACCAATAAGTAAACTACATAGATAAGCAAACTACGAACTACATAGATTGAATGGATAAGCAAGCTCCCTTGGGTTTGGTTTGGCACTGACTGTGATACTGTTAAGTGTTTGGGGTTTTAACTAATACTTAATAGATAAGTTTTCATAACTATTGTGTTTGTCCCCCTCCCCCTTAAATAAACCCTGTTACAGTTTGCAACTGGGGAAGTTTTGTTAATTTTGGTGCGCCCAGTTAAAGTTTATTTCCCAAGCTTTTGGGGGGAGGGGCTTGAATCAAAAAGGAAAGTTCAAGGAAAGCTCATGATTTTTTAACTTAGTCCTTGTTACTGTGGTCCAGCACCTGGCAGAAGGGTTCTGTTTCACACAGCGTGTCATGCAAGTGTGGAGCTCATTGCCACCAGAGGTTGTGGAAGCTGACAGTTTAGCCAGGTTCAAAAAGGGATTGGACACATTATTGTAGGAAAGGGGCTCAGTAGCTCTTAAGCGTGGGAGTTAAGGATACAGCCTCTGAATCTAGACCTTAAATGCTGGAGGCTGCAAGTGGGAGAGGAACAGTGGGGAAAAAACCCTGGTTATACCCAGTTCACTCTCCCTTTCAGCATCTACCCTCTGCCTCAGTGTGACATGGGATCCTAGCCAAGATGGATCTATGGTTTGACCTGGTAAATGGTAGTGCTTATGTACTACTAGCCAATTGCCGGTCAAGAATAAAAGGGGGGAGTGGGCAGAGATGGAGCCCCACACCTCCCTTTCCCCCCTGCCCCATCTGGGCCTGCTCCCCCTTTGCTCCTGCTGCTTGGGGTCTGGGCCCACTCCTCCCCTGTTTGTCAGCCAATTAGAGCACAAATAAAGTGTTATGGACAGTCAGATTAAGGTTTTTATATTAGATTTAGAGGAGTGAAGTTTTGGAATGGTTTTCTGGACAGAGCAGTGAGGGTAAAGACCCCAGGTGGCTCCCTGTCAAACTTGACAAGATCTGGGACGCACACTTTGATAGAACAAGGGGATGCCTGGGTCAACAATCAGTTTTTGTGGTATGTGGATTAAAGTTTTGCAAATCCCCATGCTAGAGCTGAGAGATTTTTTTTGTGAGGGAGGTACCTACTAATCCCATGCCTAAATCCTTCTGCTGTAGGAAGGCGTATGTTTTCCCTCATGAATACTAACTGGCTTCTGTTTTCTTTCCACCTTTCTCTGGAGGTTGTCAGCCACAGGCGATTGGGGGTTTCAATGGCGTGTCCCAGTGCTCTAAAGCCTTCTTGGGTCTCGTCTCTTTAGGGTCCTGCTAATTGCTAGATTTGGGGTCAGGAAGACGTTCTCCCCCACGTCAGGCTGGCAAATGCTGTGCAGGACCCTGGCTTCCCTGTGTCACGAGGCACAGCCCTGTACCTCCGAGCCTTAATTTAGTTGAACAAGTTCTCTGTCATCGCAGCCCCCGCGGTGCCCCTCGTCTCTCATGCTGTTTCCCAGGCACACTGAGGCGGGAGAGCAGGAGAGGGCTGCGAGTGGATGATGTTGAGGCCTCTCTGGGTAAATGGTTGCCCCTGAAAGCAGGGGTTTGGGTCCTGCGGCTTCTACCACCTTGGGAAGGGGCCAGCTCCTTGGGTCCGTCACCTCCACGGCCCTTTCAGAAGCAGCGTCCCTTGGAGGCCTCGCAGACCCCGGGGCGCCGCTGCGGCCGGGAGCGGGGGCCGCCTGCAGCAGCTGGGCCGGGACGTAGCTCCACCCCCCAGTGCCCGGCAAGGGCGGGGCGGCGGCGGAGGAGGGAGGGCTGCTCCTGCTCCTGCTCTCCTGGGTGCAGCAGGCGGCGGCCGCGCTGAGCTGAGCTGAGGTGAGCTCCCGCCGCCGGGGCGGGGGGCAGAGATGGCTCCGGCTGCACAGGTGG